CCCCAAAACCCCAAAACCCCAAAACCCCATAAAGAAGCCAGCATATGAAATAATTAATAACATAATATGGAAGAATATGCTAATGAGGGAGGAAATCAGGGGAAAATTATGACTGAGGTTTCGGAATTGGTGACTAGGAGAAGAGTCAGAGAAGAGGTGTTGAAGGAATTGGAGGAGAATAAGGGGGCTGAGAAATTTTTAAAGGAGTGGTGAGCACAGAGGTGGCAGGGGAGTGGAAGTTTGGGTGTTAGGGGTGTTAGGGAGGGGAGGAAATTTAATTTGGAGGGTTAGAGAGATTGAGGGTTGATTTTTTGTATGTTATGATATTATTAGGTATAGAAATTTGTTATTATTCTTAATATAGACTTATTTCTTCCTTTTATCCTATTAGACAATTTTGATTAGTTTTAATAGAGGTATCATAAAATTTGTCTCTGCATATTTTAACAGCATTTGACTCAATTTTTTATATTTTACTTTTATCTCTCAAGAAAATATTCATAATTAACTAGATATTACCGAGCCAGGTTTTATATTTGAATCCTAGACTTCTAAGCTAGCTTAATTTTTTGAATAAACTATTGTCTGACTCAGAAATATATTGATAGAAAAATAGAGATAATTTGACAAAATAGCAAAAGATCAGCACTTAAAGATGTAGAAACTTTGGAAAAATCAATAAATCAGGATGTTAAAGCCCTAGGTTTGGCTTTGCTAAACTCAAAGGCAAAATAAAATCTATGATCCTGAAAATTTCTTTGACCCAGAATCATCAATGGTGATAAATCTAAAAGACAATAATGAATCAAAATTTATGGACTGAGTACAGTCTCTCAAGATTCCATATCTTCGGAAGATCGAACTTTCCTACATACTAAAATGAAAGAAGAGATTTAAAAAGTTATGTGATAGTTCCTTCACATGGAGGATAGGGAAGACTTACCTCAGCAATGGAGGAACTGCAATCAAGGCAGTGAAAAAATTAAAGATAAAAAAGATTTCTAAAGAGTTAAGTCAAATTCTCCCAAAAATTCTACATCATGTTACATTCTCTTGCTTTGATATCGACCAGAAGCAACTTTTAAGAGTATTTTCTCTTTGAAGGGATAAGAGGAATCTGATATTTAAGAGCTGTAAATTACACCTTGGCATTGTACCTGAGTTATCAAAAGCTTTGGATCGTTGCAAGATTAGTATTCTGGGCTTTACTAATTGAGGGCATCCCATGCTTACCGATTGGGTTAATGAACCACAGTTATTTGATAACTTAATAAAAGGCTTATCAAAATCTGAAGATCTCTGTAAAAGCCTGACCAGTATTTGCTTGGAAAGAAACCCTCCTCCGATTTCAGACATCACAAAAATCCTCAAAAAGTACCATCTCTCACACATAAATTTCTCAACTTAGCCACTGTGTCCTTTCAATTTTCTTCGGGACTCAAGGGGTTTTGGGGTTTTGGGGTTTTGGGG